GCTGAACAGATTTTAAAAAGCAGCACGGGAAGACAAAGTAAAATATTACAATGAAATGTGCAAGGAGCTGGAATCAGAAAATCAAAAGGGCCAAAGTCACTCAGCATTTCTTAAGCTCAAGGAACTGAAGAACAAATTCAAACCTCGAGTTGTTGTAATTAAGGATGCTTTAGGTATAATTTTAAATGATGCAAGAAGTATTAAAAGAAGATGGAAAGAGTATACAGAGTCGCTGTATTAGAAGGAATTGGCAGACATAGAAGGATTACATGAAACAACATATTAGCAATAGCCTATGGTGATAAAGGAAGAAGTTCAAGTTGCTGTGAAGGGATTGGCAAAAAATACGGCCCCAGGAATTAATGGTATACCAATTGACATATTGCTGCCCTAGATGAGCTCACCAAGTTGTGTCAAGAAATCTGGAGGACAACCACTTGGCCAACTGACTGGAAGAGATCAGTATTTGTTCCCATTCCAAAGAAAGATGATCCAACAGTGTGGAAATTATCAAACAATATCATTAATATCACACCTTTTCTAGTTATCTTTTAATTTGTGCTGAGAAAATTCTTGCTTCACAATAGTGTCAAAAAATAATGCAGATGGATCTCAACTACCTAGTTTCCCTGCAATGATTGCATATTACAAAGCAATGGGGCAACATAATAAACAGAATATAGACATCAACATAGTCAAGAACACAGCACTTCCATTTAAGTCATAACAGGGATTCTTCCTTAATCTTAGATTGCATTTTTATAGTCACATGTAATTAATTCCCGCATTCATCCCCTTATTTACCTTGAGCTACTACTAACTTGAATTCCATTTTTTAAAAAAATTGTCATTTCAGAATGTTATATAAAGGTAGCATATAGATTACAACTATCTCACCTCTTCACAATTCCTATGTGCTCTTTAATTTTATGTAAATTTCTCTCTTTGAAATAATCCAACAAATCCCTACCAGCAACAATCTTCACAATCTTCTTTACTTGTTGCATGTATAGCATTCCCTCCACTAGCTTATTTAAAAAACTCGAATACAAATTCAAACAATCTTTTTTTTTTTCAATTTCCCTCACCCCCCTCCATCAAATAGTACAACCCAATGATTAATCTCCCCTTATCCCTGCACATCCACATCCTTCTGCTTCCAGCCTCTCCCACCCTTCCTGGATCCTTATACTCATTCTACAAAAATGGACTTATACAATATTTATCCTTGTGGGACTGAGTTAGTTCACTCAGTATAATACTCTCCAGCCCCTCCCAAATTATGTAATAATTTACAAAGTTATTGCTCCTGCGTGCTGCATAGTATTCCCTTGTGTGACTGGACAATGATTTCTCAATCCATTCATTTGTGGTTGGACATTTGGACTGTTTCCATGTTCTTGTGATGATGAATAATGCTGCTATAAACATTGGTGTACAAATCTCAGTTTGTACCTCAGTTCTCATATTATCAGGGTATATTCCAAGTAGTGGAATAGCTGTGTCATATGGAATTTCTTTGTTTAGCTTTTTGAGGAAGCACCAAACTGCCTTCCAGAATGGTTGCACCATTTTACAATCCCTCCAACAGTGTATAATAGTTTCTTTCTCACCACATCCTCTCCAATATCTATTACTTGCTGCCCTGTTAAACTTTGCCACTTATACTGGAGTGAGATGGTAACTCATTGTGGTTTTGATTTGCATCTCTTTTATTGCCAGTGATTTAGAGCATTTCTTCATTTGTCTGTTTGCCCTTCGAATATCTCCCTCTGTAACCAGAAATGCACAATCTTAAAAGGATAAAATTGATGCATTGGACATTCTAAAGATTAAATCTCTGTGCATATCAAAACCTTTCTCCAACAGGGTGAAAAGAAGACCTACAGAATGGGAACAACATAATACTATCTCAGACAAGAGTCTTATGACAATAGTTTACAGAATACTTCTGGCCCTCCACAAGAAAAGACTTATAACCCAATTACAAAATGGGAAAAAGGCATGGAAAGAATTTGCATGTATAACTTTTACATCACTAAAAGAGTTTTCAGCTTTTCTTTCATTAAGACTAACTGAAAATATATTAACCTGCTGTAATTCACATACAAATACCACTTAAGGAATTAAAAATAAAATTAGAAATGGACCTTGTTCATAAGTGGGGGGTGGGGCTTGGGGCTGTTGGTAAAAAGAATCATGCACTTGTGAACTTTTCCCATTTTTCTGCTTATAGGTATCTAGGGTTTCATCTAGATTATTGTATGTGTCAATACACATACTGCTACTTTTTAATTTTTTTATACTAGTTTATTTACAAAGTTTGAATACATTCTTTTTCACATTATAACTTTTCCATTTCCTTAACACCCCACCTCCAGATTGTTACTTTTTATTGTGAGGTAGGAATTCATAGCTTGGATGTATCAAGTGTAGTTAACAATGTACCCAAAGTGGAACAAATGGTTTTTCCAGTTTGAGGCTATTACTAAGATTTCATCTATGAATACTGGTGTCCAAATTGTTGCGTAAACACTAGACTTCACTTATAAATACCTGAAATACTATAGTCTTTAATATAGATTATATCCATACATCAAGAAAATAAATTCTCACCGCTGGATAAATAGGCAACATATAAGAGATGGCACAAAGATTAAAGTGGTCAACAATTTCATTTTACTTGGATCCACAGTCAAATCCAGACTTTCCTAGGCCTTTGTCTGCTCAGGCCAAATAGCTATCTCTTAACTAAAGCAAGAGAGGAACTCAGTACTTGGATAGATTACTAACTGTTAGCACCAACTGAGAACTGAAAGCTGCATTCCTGGGACCTTTCCACTTCTGTAGGCCTTTTATCTGACAAAATATCCTAGGCAATATCCCTGGGACTTTGTCTATTGCTTGGGGAAATGGCCCCTCCTATCAAACTGCAGGATAAGACTGAGAAACAAGCCTACAAACAGATGGTAAAAAGGAAAACACTGCCCCTGTCCCTCAAAGGAAAACCAAATGTGAAGCTTGACACAGGAAATAGGGAACAGAGCCATGCACAGACAACCTTCATGGAATATTGACACTAGTAAACTTAATTGGGGGCAACACTTAAAGTCTACAACTCTATCAACAGCATCATAAAGATGAGGAAATGGCGACAATCTACACAGACACAACAGAAAATGCCTCACATATACCAAGAAGGACTTCACATAACATCAAGGAGGAACAAGTTCAAACATTACAAAAGAAATAAAACAAGCCCTCTCCTATAAAAAACAGAGTATATTGCAGACCCAATGAAAACTCCAGGTATAATGAGGAAGAAATACATACTGATGTACAGTTACATGAACTATTACTAAAGAAGTTACAATATATTGAAAAAGAGTTTAAACCATGGAGAGTACACAATTTTTAGAAATATCATCACAACACAGAAAGGGTAAAATCAAGACGACTAGAAACAATAGAAATAAAAGAAAATACGATTCAGAGTATCAAGAGTGAAATGGCATAACTTTACACATGCTAGAAGGAAAAAAAGCAGAATACAAGAGAAGGAGCAAAGTAGAAGACAAGAATCTCAATTGGGACATACTAGAATAAAATGACTGGAAGAAAATTAAAGAAAACATCAGACTCGGGTGGAATAATGTCAGATGCGAAACAGACACATGATTGGAATTCCAGAACAAGAAAGGTGGGAGAAGGACTGAGAAAATTGTGGAAAAGTTCCTAGAAGAAAACTTCCCAGTTATTATGAAAAATGAAGAAATTCACATTCAAGAAGCTTACCGAATTCCAAACAGACTAGACCCCAAAAGAAAAAGCATCAAACATATCATAGTCAAATTCCTCAAAATAAAAGATAAGAATGAAATACCAACAGTAGTGCAAAATAAACAGAAAATCACCTACAAGGAAAACCAATTAAACTCTGACTTCTCAGCAAAACTATGAAAACAAGAATGCAATGGGATGATATATGCAAATGATTGAAATTAAACAACTGCCAGTCAAGGATTCTGAATCTAGCAAAAAGGAACTTAAGGGATTCCTGAAAACAAGACCAGCTCTATAAGGAATATCAAGTCCTTCACTCAGAGACATCAAAGAAAAACAGGTGGACCAAAGTAGCCAGCAACAACAGAAAAAGGATCACAGTAGCAAAATAACAATGATAAAAATTTGGTATGGCAATAATGACACATAGCATTAATGGTTTAAATATACCAATTAAGAGATAAAGAATAGCAGAATGGCATATTTTTTTAAAAAAGCTTATCAGCAGGTTACCTCTAAGAGACAAATCTAATAAAAGACTAAAAATTAAAGGGTGGAAAGAAATAAACCGAGCAACTGGCACCACTCAGAAATCAGAAGTGGCAATACAAGTCTTTGATAAAGTAGTCTTTGGGATGAAAACCACCATAAAAGGTAAGGGAGGGCACTGCATCATAATTAAACAAATGGCAGATCAAGAAGACATAATCTTAGTTAACATCTATGCACCAAATGATAGACTATCAAACACATAAACAATGGTTGACTGATTTTTTTTAAAAGATTTTTTAAAAACCCCAAAATAATAGGAAGATATTTTACTCTCACCAAAGGACAGGTCAACTTAAAAGTAACTCATCCAAGATGCAGAACTAAACAATACAATTAGCCAACTCAATCTCATAGATGTATCCAGGATAATTTCCAGAGTTATAACACAATCAACAATCATGGTAACAAGAGTTAAGGTGGGGAAAATGTGTTTCTTTGGAGAAATCTGCTGTCAGAGACTTCTCCAAAGTTCTAAAAAGCAAAGATGTTAGTTTAAAAACTAATGTGTGAGACCAGCTGCTGAGATGAACACTTCACTGGGGCAGTCTCCGCATATCATGGGGAGATAGACACTGCTGCCTTTGATTGGCCTTGGCCCTCACAGCTCTAAAAAGAAACAGGATCTTGATAAACTCGATGATCTGAAGTCCAAAGCACGGCAGATTATGAACCAGTTTGGCCCCTCAGCCCTAATCTCCAATTTCTCATCTATAAAACTGGAACCAGCCAGCACCCCTCCACAAGGCTCCATGGCCAATAGCACTACTGTGGTAAAGCTACCAGGCATTACTCCTGGCACAGGAGGTCGACTCAGTCCTGAAAACCAGGTATTAACGAAGACGAAATGGCAAGACTTGGTAAGAGAAGTGGATCCCAATGAACAGTTGGATGAAGATTTAGAGGAGATGCTACTACAGATTGCCGACGATTTCATTGAGAACGTGGTGACAGCAGCCTGCCAGTTTGCCAGGCATCGCAAGTCCAGCACCCTAGAGGTGAAAAATGTCCAGTTGCACCTAGAGCGCCAGTGGAACATGTGGATCCCAGGTTTTGGCTCAGAAGAAATTCGACCCTACAAAAAAGCTTGCACTACAGAAGCTCACAAACAGAGAATGACATTGATCTGGAAAACAACCAAGAAATAACATACGGAGAGGTCGGGAAATGGACAACAATGCGTTTGGAATTTGGAGATACTTGAGCTGAGGCCTCAGCCATCTCATCCGTGGAGTTGTGTTTTTTTTTGTTTTGTTTTGTTTTTTTTTAATGCTTTACAGAGAAGCATATATTTTTTATTAACAGTGCAGCAATATCTATAATGACTGAGAGGATCTGCCAAAAGAATAAAGCCTCCTACCCCAACTTCCAGTCTCTCTTGCCTGCCATCTCAAAGAGGTGGAATATATCTTCCAGAGAAGATTTTTCTTTGTGGTTTATTATATAAGTGATTGAATATGGAACAAAGCATAATGGTCTTTTTGGTGAGACAGTATTAGCAGGACATACAGAGGTTTTTGTTTCCTCCTCTCCTCACCCTTCCTTTTTCTTTGTAATGTCAGTGTTTATATGACTATAACTTTCATTTGCTTTTACAGAATAAAGAAGTTATTAATAAAAAAACTAATGTGTACTGGATCCAAATGATAGTCTTATATAAATTCTTAAGCATCTGAAAGTTGAACAGTGAATAAGGATAGAAAAGAAGAATGGATGTCTCTGAATTGTGGTATTGGAGCACTGAATATCTCATTGATTTCCAAGAAAATAAGCAATTCTGTCTTGTGTTTCTTAGAGGCAAGAATGGTAAAATTTGTCTTGCAGGTTTGGAGCTTGCTATCTGGTGAGGAAAATCCTTGAAGAAAGGCTTCATCCTGGTTAAGGTCAGGACCAGAGAAAGAAGTGGATTAACAATGAGTGTAACAATGTGCTCAAGCCATCAGAGAGAGTGGGGATGGCACAGTATGTGTCAAAGTTCAGGTTTGTTGTTCAAAGTGTCATTAAGTTTTGTAATCAGCTTGATGCCACCTAACAACAAATGCTCAGGTATGAAATTCTGGGCTTATACAGTAAATATATAGTTAGTTTTAATGAAACTGAGTGGCTACAAACATACTATATTACCACTTGAAATGGTGAGTTAGTGTCTCCAAATCTTTTTCAGCACTTGGTATTACCATTATTATTTTTTTTAAATCTAGTAAGTATGTTTTTTTGTACTATTGAGTCAAAACTGACCCATAACTGAACCTTGAGTGGGTTTTCAGAGGAAGTTAATCACACAGCAGGAGAACTTTCTCCTGCAGATCAGTTGAAGTGCTTGACCCATGTGTCTTTGGAATTGCAGCCCAGCTTCTTGCCACTAAGCCAAATAAGAATGTGTTGTTGTTATGTACTGCTCTATGTTAAGCCAATTTTATTGTCTCTGACACTCCTCCATCCATTCCTGCAGTCACTGAGTAAACCCCTATCATTTAGGGTCTTCTTCTCTTGTGCTGTTCCTCCACTCTTCCAAGCATGATGTCCCCCTCCAAGGGTTGGTTTCTCCTTGTAGCATGCCCAAAGTAAGCCTGACTAAGCTTCAAATTCCTTGCCTTCAAGGAGTAGCCTGGTTTCACTCTGTTCAGGACGAACCTATTTTTTCTCATAGCAGCCCATGGTATATTCAATTCTTTTCTTCAGCACCACAGCTCAAAGATATCAATTCTCTCTCTATCATCCTTAGTCATTGTCTGAAGCTCTCTGATACACAGCAAGTAGTTGTGAAAACTGTGACCTGGATCTGGCCCATCTTTGTCTCTAGACTGACATCATTGCCCTTCAGTACTCTGAATATCAGGTCCCTTATAGCAGATTTTCCCAATATAATTTGTCTTTTGATTTCCTGGATGCTGGTACCAAGAGTGCTGATTGTGGAGCCTAGCAATCTAAAGCTGTTAACATTCTCAAAAGCTTCACCCTCTATTATGATATTGTCGATTGGCCCAGTGTTGAGAATATTTGTCTTTGATGTTGAGCCTCAATCCATATTGAAGGCTTCAGCAAGCATGAATGTCATTTACGTAACCTAGGTTGTTGATGAATCTTCCTCTGACCCTAATGCCTCATTCCTCCTCATAGAACCCAGCCGCTCAATGATCTGTTATACATATAGTTTGAAAAGGTATGGAGATACAATACATCCCGAGTGTGGTGGTTGTGTTGTTAGGTGCTATTGAGTTGACTACAATTCATAGTGACCCCATGAACAAAAGACCTGCACCCTGTTCTGTCCTACACCATCCTCATATTTCAGGCACACAAGATCCAACTGCAGCAGTTATCATGTCCATTCACCTGGTTGAAGGTCGTCTTCTTCACTGAATCTCTACCCTTCCCAACATCATGTCCTTCTCCAGTGAAAAGTCCCTCCTAGCAACATGCCCAAAGTCCCATAGACAGTTAAGTGAAAAACAGATATGTATTAGAAAGGGTGCAGCCACAGTGCTCTTTGGAGGCAAAGAATGATGAGAGCTCACTTCACATACTTTGGGCATGTTGCTAGGAGGGACTCTTCCCTGGAGAAGTTTGTTGGGTCCTGCCTGAGGGTGAGTCTCCAGCTTGGAGCCGTTGGATTCTGGAGGGTGTTTTTTACTTACTTGAAAGGTGGGTGTAAACTAGTTGTTTTTTAACTTGTTAACCCTGGTGTGTAATGATATGTAATTAACGAATTAATGTTCACTTATTTTACATAATAATATCAAACATATTTTATACATTCATTGTATATCCTCAAATCAGTACATACTCTTCAGAGAAATTTATTTTTCTCTCCTGTCTTTTATATTATTTAAGTGCTAGTACTATATTTAACCAATATATACTTTTCACTATTTAAACATCTAACACATTATTTAATTATTATTCATTTGGCAAACATTTCAGTTAGTCTTGTTTTAGAGTTACAAATTCTTTTGATTTTATAATTTTGGTGACATTTCCTGGGAATGTAATATACTCTTCTGAAGAACATACAAATTTGTGATGGGGCTGGTAAAAAGATACATACAGCTTCAATTTTATTAATTACTCCCAACCTATCTTCTCAGAATAAAATATTTTGATGTTTATTGCACATATTTTGCAATATTTGGTATTTTTGTCTTAATATGCTTGGCATTTAGGTATGAAATAGTATCTCACTGTATTAATGTCATTTTGTTTGCTTTAGGGGAAGATCATCTTTTCATATGTTTATTTGACATTTGTGATTTCTATTTCATGGAATGATATTCACATATTTTGCCCATTTCCCACATATTAGCAATACGGAAGATTTTATTTCTTTTTAGAAGCAGTAAGATAATGTGCCTAAAAGTACAGTTTGTGAATCTGAAATCTGATCAAGATCCACAATAGAAGTTTATTCTAGGATGGGATGGAATGGTGATCAAATATGGAAGAGATATTTTTTTTCTCATCAGGAGAAAGTTTCTCTACAGATTGAAGTAGATTCCGACTTGTTAAGATCCTATAGAATAGGATTGAATTGCTCCATAGGGTTTCCCAGGCAGTGGTATTTATGAAAGGAGATAGCCACATGTTTCTGCTTTCACACAGCTGGTGGGTTGGAAGTCTTCCTTTTGGTTAGCAGGTGAGCACTTTAAATCACTGTTGGTGCTTCTAGCCAACAGGCCTCACATCTCTGGCTGTTCAAATAAGCTAGTTGCTCTTTGGAAGAAAATGAGCATTCTTCTCCAATAAGAAATTTTAACCTCAGAAATCTGATGGTGTCACTATGACTCCAATGATTCATTAGGGGTGAGTCTGAATTGAGAATATCTATCTAATGAATATTATAAGATTATTATACTCATGTTATTACTGTTAGGTGCCATCAAATTGACTATGATTAGCAGCAATTTTATGAATAACATGTTTGAACCTCACCCCATCCTGCACTAATTGTACCATCACTATATACTTGTTCCCATTGACCCTACAGTACAATGTGACAAAGGCTGTGGGAGCAGATTGTCCATGCTTCTGTGGAGCAGCTGGTGCACATAAACTGTGAGCCTTTTGGTTGACAGCTTAACTCCTTAACACCAGAACTCCCCATGGCGAGCTTAATCATAGGACCATTAGCATTTATGCTGTTTGTAGTCAGTCTGTTTATGACTTAACACTTGGATAGCAAAAGTTCAGGCTTTGTATTCGTACAAAGTACCAAATGAGTTCTGTGCAACACTGTCATGTCAGGTTAATACTCCTTGTTTTCTGATATATGGCAATTATTTGAACATTCATCATTTGTGAGAAGGTTTTTAATATTTTTAATAGAGTATGTCAGCATATCCCAGGGATTTTCTTTTGCTTCTGTAACAAACACCTGTTTCACCTGTGTATCATGAATAACCTGTTTATCATGAATCACTCACCTCCTGGCAACATTCTGCTTTTCTCATATTATCTCCTAAATAGCAGACACCCTTAGCTAGGTAACAGTAAAGAAACAATAACAGCTTCTGTTATTTGCTTAACACCTGACAGACTCTCATCCTGGCTCAGCTATCAGTGAGCACAGCCCCATAGTTCTAAATCTGCTCATCCAAATAGGCAATGTGTGAGGATAAACACAGGTAATGGTTCTGGCATGAGCAAAGTCACCCAAACAAAACACAATGACATCTGCTATTTAGAAAAGTAATGGATCACACATTGTTTTGGGGTAATATATGTGTATCAACATAGTTTATTTTTAACCAAAGAGAGCAAAATAAAATGTTTCGATTTCAAATTCCTCTCTTTCCCATGGCTATTATTCATTAGGTATTATTAAGGGGGGGGTGTCTCATTTTTTTAGATGTTTTATAGTTTGTAAAGTATACTTTCACTTTTGAGATGGATTTATACAGTAACTGGGGTAGTGGGGGTTGGAGTGTCAGAATTAGTGAGACTGGCTCAGGACAGGGAAAGGTTCAGAGCTGCTGTACATAGGGTCGAAAGCGACTCCATGGCATTTAAAAACAATAACATACCATTACAGGTTTGGAAGCAGGATTGGCATCCACTACCTAAATAACATGCCTCTGGGAACTCTTATGAACTTTCATAAATGTTGATAGTTGTAGAGGGGCTTTAAGCCTTTTGTTCATAGGGCCACTAT